TCGGTGTGGCTTAGTTTCAGTTTACATGTTGCTCTACAGCTACACCCAGCTTCCGGCTTTGCTACTCTTCACCACCCAGCGCACCGCTGCACCAACTGCGAAACTCTGCCAGCTCTGGCAAACTCTACACCCCGGCTACACCAAGCCGCTTCGCGCTGCTTCACGCAGCTTTCACGGCTGCTGCCGGCCACCAGGCCACTGCTTCTGGCAGCTGGCTACTACACCGGCTACACCCAAGCTGCACAGCTACGGCGCTTCCCACAGCCTTCCGCCCGCTACGGCTGCTACGCAACTGGCTCACTGCACCAACTACAGGGGCCCTGGTGCACCAACCACTTCTTTGGCGGCGCATCGGCTGCAGCTGCTACCAGCTTCCGGCTACCTTTTCCTTCACCACCTTCACATAACTTCATTGTCAGACTGGCGCGCCAGACTACACTTTCGTACTGCAACTTCCGCCTTCATTCTTCACCAACTACAGTGACCCGCACCAACTTCGCCTACACCAACTACAGCAACTACACTAACTACACTAACTACAGCTACTACACCAACTACAGCTACTACACCAACTACAGAAACTACAGCAACTACATCAACTACAGCCACTACACCAACTACACCAACTACACCCACTACACTAACTACACCAACTACAGCCACTACACCAACTACAGCTACTACACTAACTACACCAACTACAGCTACTACACCAACTACACCAACTACAGCCACTACACCAACTACAGCTACTACACTAACTACACCAACTACAGCTACTACACCAACTACAGCAACTACACTAACTACACCAACTACAGCTACTACACCAACTACACCAACTACAGCTACTACAGCTACTACAGCTACTACAGCAAATACAGCTACTACACCAACTACACCAACTACACCAACTACAGCAACTACAGCAACTACATTAACTACACCAACTACAGCAACTACACCAACTACATCAACCACACCAACTACAGCAACTACACCAACTACAGCAACTACAGCTACTACACCAACTACACTAACTACACCAACTACAGCAACTACACCAACTACAGCTACTACAGCTACTACACCAACTACACTAACTACACCAACTACAGCTACTACACCAACTACAACTACTGCACTAACTACACCAACTACACTAACTACACCAACTACAGCTCCTACACCAACTACAGCAACTACACTAACTACACCAACTACAGCAACTACACTAACTACACCAACTACAGCTACTACACCAACTACACAAACTACACCAACTACAGCAACTACAGCTACTACACCGACTACACCAACTACACCAGCTACAGCAACTACAGCAACTACACTAACTACAGCTACTACACCAACTACAGCTACTACACCAACTACAGGAACTACACTAACTACACCAACTACAGCTACTACACCAACTACAGCAACTACACCAACTACACCAACTACATTAACTACACCAACTACACCAACTACAGCAACTACAGCAACTACACCAACTTCATTAACCACACCAACTACAGCTACTACACCAACAACAGCTACTACACCAACTACAGTAACTACAGCAATTACATCAACATTCTCATAGTGGGCTTAGTGGTCACTCAGTGTCTCTATATTCGTGACGGTTATCATGAACCCATTACCCAGAAACCTACGGCGTATACAGTTCGCAATACAAGAAGAACTACTTTATGCTGAATGCGGCGCAAGATTAAAGAACTTCTGTTTATCAAAAGTTACTGTGTTTTTGCAGTTCTCTTTTCGAAAAAAAATCTTAACAAAGCAAAATATAGCATTTACAGAAATCACCTACCAGTTTTTAGCACCGAAAGGTTCCCGTCTTGAAGACAAATAAAGCCACCAACTTCAGTACTTCAACCAATCCATTTTCAGCTGCAACGAAAACCCTTGTAATTGGTAATTTATTCAAGCTTGAATGTTAGATTTGCCATCACATTCGCACGGGCATTTGCCATTTTTCATATTTTTCTTCATTTTCATCCCCAAGTGGCAAGTTTCCAAGTTATTCATGGCATTTTTTTTGTAAAAATGCGGTCTAAAACATTGCCTATATATCAAACGTTTTTTTACCCACAGGAAAATAAATGACATTTTCTTAAAGTTGAATTATTCTTTATTACAGTCAAACCAGGTCAAGCGTTCCCGTCGCTAACAAACTAATGAATTCATCAATGGAAAAATGATTTCGTTTGTTGATTCAATAATCCATTCATAAAATGAATAATCCAACGGTCAAATTGTACCTCGATTCAATAATCAAATGTTGATTTGGTTTATGAACAAAATCTACCTGTTCTTTATTCTTGTCTGTTGTGTTCAATCGTATTTGCTTCTCTTTTCCTGCCGTTTACGATTGCGTTTTTCATTGCCTTTAATCAAAATAACAGCTAGAATAGACAGACCGCAAACGCAAAGAAACTGACAAAGGCCGAGGATCGAAATCCACCAATCACCGCACATACACTGACCTCAGTTTGACCGTCGTGTTTTCTAAAAGGTCAGGCCAAGGTCTGTTGCACTGATTATTGGCAGCAAACTGGCGTACATGTAACAGTTTGTTTGGGTTTGAACTTCAGAACTCGCCAGCACTCGACTCTCAGAAAAAAAAGAGGAAAAAACAAAATTCTGAGGTCAACTTGTGGAAAGTGTAATTTTTCAAAAAACAGTAATCGAATCAACATTCGATTATGGAATCGAGGCTAAATATGACTATTGGATTGTTCATTTTATGAATGGATTATTGAATCAACAAACGAAATCATTTTTCCGTGAATGAATTCATTAGTTCGTTAGCGACGGGAACGCTTGACCTGGTTTGACTGTAAGGATGCAAAAATCATAGAAATCGGTTAAATCACTCTTGCCAAAAAACGCGATTTAAAAACATAACCAACGTGGATAAAAGTAGGCTCGGGCCACCTTAAGTCAGGCCGAGGGCTTAACATGTCGAACAACAGACGTTAGGATGGCCCGCTTACTCAACTTAATTGGACCCATCATTTAAAATCTCCTTATGCTGCCCAACTTTCTTTATCATTCAAGGGATAAACTAACTCTTTGCACCAACTTCTATCGTTTGTAGGATTTTGAAAAGTAAGTGACATCCTTTTCCAGAATCAAGTGGGGATTCATTGTCCATCTGAATGGCAATGAGGCACCTAATCCACATCGAATTACTTTTTCTGTTAAGCCATATATTCAACAGGGTGATTTCAGAACATTGCAAAAAAGGTGAGGAATCCATTTATGGCTGGAAGTTACAAGGACACATTTACAAGACTATGATGGCAAACTTCGGATATGAGTGCTTACTTACCTGTCGTCAAGACAAAAGATGTCAGAGTTTCAACTGGGTGATCTCCCTTGACATGTGTGAGTTCAGTAACAGAACCAAAGAAGCCAGACCTGAGGACTTTGTACCAGACCCAGACAGATATTATTATAGAAGAGACGTGAATAGAGGTAAAATGAACTAACAGGTTGGTAATTATAGAATTATGTTTTACAGAGTTACTGTATCTCTTCTTGGACTATGTACTCTTATACAGCGAGATATATCCTTTATTGGGGACCTTAAACTACACCGTTTCTGCCTATGAGTTCGGATAGGCGCACATGTTTGTTTGGAATCTGATTGCTGATATCAGTCAATGGATGCATTCGGATAAGTTAAAACTGAATTCGGATAAGACAGAATGTCTTCTGATTGGAACGCGACAACAACCTCAGAAAGTAAGTAACATCAGTACCTTATCGGTCGGCGACTCCCAAATTGCTCCATCTTGTGAAGTTCGAAACCTGGGAACCTGGTTTGATTTGTAAAATGAGTATGCTAAGTCATATCAATAGAACTTGCTCATCCGCTTTCTATTATCTTTATAGCATGAGTTAAGAATTAGGAAATATTTAAGTCGTAATCAGTCACCGAATCATTAGTGCATGCTTTTATAACCATAAGAGTAGATTATTGTAACAGTCTACTGTATGGGCCTCCCGAATTCATATATCATAAAAATTCAAAGGATACAGAATGCCGCAGGTCGGTTGGTCACTGGAACACCAAGATACTGCCATGTTACACCATTGCTTTTCCACCTTCATTGGCTTCCGATAAGTTACCGTATAAAGTTTAACATTCTACTTTTGACTTTTAAGTGCTTATATGGTCAAGCTCCTGATTAATTAATTGATTTAATTACCATCAAAAAGCACTCCAGGTACTCTCTAAGGTCAAGAGTCTATATTCATCGAGTTACCTGGCATTAAGACCCATCCAACTCTTGGCGATCGTACACTGTTCCAGTCAGCTGCACCTTATCTCTGGAATGCGTTACCTTCGGCAATTCGCAACATACAGACATTGGACACTTTAATTTAAGACTGCTGTTAAAACTCATTTTTTTATTTAGCTTTTAAATAGATTTGATTTTTGGCTTTTATTGTATTTTTTTTACAGTTTTTAAAAGCTTTTAATGTAGTTTTTAATAGTTTCTTAAAACGCTTTAGTCACCTTTAATATAAATTAAATATAACAATATTGTAAAGTGCAATCGAATATATTCACAATTTTATTATTATTTATGGGATGAGCACGAATCCGACTCTACCACCCATAAAAGATAGACACTAGAGGTGGTCACTAGCAAAGATTCAGATAAGTCTCTTAAGGCTCCTCCTAAAGGCTCGCGCTTAAACAGGTACTTCACACACATTCATTGCCAAAGGGTAGTTCATTTTATTAATGACAGATTTTTCTTCCAGTTCCTCTTGGTTCCATTCCTGAGCTCCCAGCAGAAACGTGTAAAGAGATCAAAGCAAGCGAAGGAGAAGCCATAAGCAAGAAATACTGGATGAGTATCATTAAACCTGGTTTCACTGTTCTCGCCCATTGCGATATGAAGTCCGAAGGTGAGTAAGCTGAAAACTTCTTATCAAACAAGAAGTTCAGTTCCTTATTGGAAGAAAAATATTCCTGTTTAATTCAGGTGTTTTCCGTAAATACCTCACACCAATAAATAAACTTAAGGCAATCAAATATGTAGTAATTTTCAAGAAACTGTCCCATCAAGCCTTGCCTTTGCTGGCTGGGTAGCAGGAAAGGTTTATCAAGGAAGAACAAGTTGATGGTCATTAACTACAATCTATAATAATACTGTATTAACTTTAGAGGTTTTCTTTGCATTTGAGAAGCTCAAGAGGCTTGGGGTGCATATATCATTTGGTTGTTCCTTGTTTTTGCTCAGATGTTGACGAATGCACGGCTTCTTCTCCCGTCTGTGACGTCAATGCCCAGTGTACGAACACTCGTGGATCCTTTACCTGTACATGCAAGCTTGGCTTCTCTGGTGATGGAAAAACATGCAAAGGTGTGTGCTTGTAGGAGACTCGTAAGAAAACCATCAAATGTCAAGTGCCTAGAAAGAATACTGCTTCCTTGTTTATACAACATAGATCGGCTTTCGTAGATCCTTCCCACAATCCTATGAAAAAAGTACCAAATTCTACGCCTGGGCGAGTTAACTGGTCATCATAGCGATTTTTATGAAATTGTATCGCCAAGGCTCTACCTCGTTTCATTGTAGATAGATAGATAGATAGATGATAGATAGATAGATAGATAGATAGATAGATAGATAGATAGATAGATAGATAGATAGATAGATAGATAGATAGATAGGTAATAGATAGATAATCTTTATTTATCAACGGTCAATTCATCAGCCAAAAAATTACAGTTCAAATAAGAAAACATTATAAACTATCCACATTATAAAACATATTAGTTGAAATAAAAAGCTGCCTTTCCACGAATGCCGTTCTCTAGAGTACTTGTTTAAGAAGATATCTGAATTTCGTAAGGGACTCTGCTTGCCTCACATTCCACGAGAGTTTGTTCCATAGGTGGCGCCACTTTAGCTAAAGCTATTTTTGAAATAATTTGTCCTTGGTAAAGGGAGGCAAAGTTTATTCTCAGACTCTCTAGGGTTACATGCCGTCGTGTTTCCTTGATGGAGAGGAATGCGGTAAAGGTCTCATGATGAAGGGACAACGTACAACTTGATAGTCATAAACTACTTTAAGATTAAGTTACAGGTTTGCTTTGCAATCAAGAAGCTCAGTAAGCTAGTGTTCCTTGTTTCATTTGGCTTTTATTTTCTTTGCTCAGATATTGACGAGTGCAAAGCTTCTTCTCCCGTCTGTGACGTCAATGCCCTGTGTTCGAACACTCGTGGATCCTTTAGCTGTGCATGCAAGCTTGGTTTCTCTGGTGATGGAAAAACCTGCCAAGGTTTGTGAATGAAAACAAAATACGAACATGAAGAAAGAAGGGTATTATGCGGGCCATATTATTTTTGAGATATGTAAGAGTTCCAGCATGTTATCATCAGAGTAAGCCCACTCTAAACCTGCACTATGTCCTTAAAGCAACAGGCCTTCCCCCCGTACTCGTAGTTGTTCCTTCTAAAGCAGCAACAAACACGGTAATTACCATGGTAATAAATCCAAATACTTTCACTCATTAGACAAATCATTTATGTACAATTCCTCAGTCGTTGTGTTTAATTTTAAGGAAATGAATCAGTTGACAGGTTCATTTTGCCATTTTAAGCAGCAATGTGTCAAATATTGAGTTGCTGTTCCTTTTTTCATAGGGTGTACCGTCTTCACCGTATTATAATTTCCCTAGATATTATAAAATCCTTTGATTTTAATCGTAAACTGACATCAACGAGTGCAGTAATATCCCATCCGCTTGTTAAAACAGGCCCCTGTAGCACCTGGACTAGAAACCTTAAGGTCATACGTTCAACTCCTATTGGGAGTATTCGGACGTTTTCTTCCGAGCCGCGTGTGTCAATGACTGACATAAAACCCCTTTCTCAAGTATTCACCAGCCTTAATATTCTCCATCACATTTCTACCTTTGACGGCCCTTTTATATCGGCGCGTAGACCGTCCCCCGCATTCTTGAGAACGAACACACCAACTTAAGCAGACATAGCACAGTGATTTGTGTGAAACTATCCACTTTGCAAGCCTCGGCCTCGTTTAATTGTGTTTGCCAGCTTTAGTGACTACGCTTAGTTATTATATTAAGCTTGTTTCAGTTGGCTGTTTTGCTTTTTTGGCACAGATGTTAACGAATGCACAGCTTCTTCTCCTGTTTGTGATGTCAATGCCCGGTGTACGAACACTCGTGGATCCTATAGCTGTGCATGCAAGCGTGGCTTTTCTGGTGATGGAAAAACATGCAAAGGTTTGTGTTTAGACTTTCACGGCCCTTGTTTTTCGGCACATAGACCGTCCCCGGGACGCATTCTTGTGAACGAACACACCAACTTGAGCCGATATAGCACGGTGATTTGTGTGGAACTATCCACTTTGCAAGCCTCGGCCTCGTTTAATTGTGTTTCCCAGTTGTAGTGACTACGCTTAGTTTTATATTAAGCTTGTTTCAGTTAGCTGTTTCGCTTTTTTGGCACAGATGTTGACGAATGCACAGCTTCTTCTCCCGTCTGTGATGTCAATGCCCAGTGTACGAACACTCGTGGATCCTATAGCTGTGCATGCAAGCGTGGCTTTTCTGGTGATGGAAAAACATGCAAAGGTTTGTTTTTAGACTTTGATGGCCCTTGTTTATCGGCACGTAGACCGTCCCCCACATTCTTGTGAACGAACACACCAACTTGAGCAGATATAGCACAGTGATTTTTGTGAAACTATCCACTTTGCAAGCCTCGGCCTCGCTTAATTGTGTTTGCCAGCTGTAGTGACTACGCTTAGTTATTATATTAAGCTTATTTCAGTTGGCTGTTTCGCTTTTTTGGCACAGATGTTAACGAATGCACAGCTTCTTCTCCCGTCTGTGATGTCAATGCCCAGTGTACGAACACTCGTGGATCCTATAGCTGTGCATGCAAGCGTGGCTTTTCTGGTGATGGAAAAACATGCAAAGGTTTGTGTTTAGACTTTGACAGCTCTTGTTTATCGGCACGTAGACCGTCCCCCGCATTCTTGTGAACGAACAAACCAACTTGAGCAGACGTAGCACAGTGATTTTTGTGAAACTAACCACTTTGCAAGCCTCGGCCTTGTTTAATTGTGTTGCCAGCTGTCGTGACTACGCTTGGTTATTATTTTAAGCTTGTTTCAGTTGGCTGTTTCGCTTTTTTTACACAGATGTTGATGAATGCAGAGCTTCTTCTCCCGTCTGTGATGTCAATGCCCAGTGTACGAACACTCGTGGATCCTATAGCTGTGCATGCACAGCTATAGGATCCACGAGTGTTCGTACACTGGGCATTGACATCACAGACGGGAGAAGAAGCTCTGCATTCATCAACATCTGTGCATGCAAGCGTGGCTTTTCTGGTGATGGAAAAACATGCAAAGGTTTGTGTTTAGACTTTTACGACCATCATCAAGCATCAAGCACCGTGAAAGAATACTCATTCTCTGTTTATATAACATAGATCTTTCCCAAATTTCTATAAAGAAATGTAAAGGTTTGTGAGATCCTTAAACGACCGTAAGAGAGGATGGCATCATGGGTGTTATAAGAAATTTAAAACCAAGCATATTATCATCGAGACCCACTTCACAACTGTACTATCGTAGTGCAAACGAGCCTTTCACCATTTTCTTTGTACACAAATGCTATTTTATCTAAAAGCATAAATGCACTGAGTGTGAAATGAAGTGCATATACTTTCAAGGCATATCTTCACTTAAATGAAACAACTTACTCAAAGTCGTTGTGTTTTGTTCATTTTTACGGACATGACCTCCACAGGTTCAATAATGTTTCAAGTTATTGTCTTGCTTTAGTTAGCGTGTATCTTCTATACTGTACTGTTTCTTCCTGTATAAAGGCATCTTTTTGTCCAATCGTGGATATCAATGATTGCAGCGCTCTCCCCTCCATTTGTGATGTGACTTACTAACTGCCAGAACAAAGTAGGCTCTTGTCTCTGTACGCGCAAACCTGGTTTTGTTGGAAACGAGAAAACGTGTCAGGGTATCTGCAAATTTTACTTTAAATTGCACGAGGCTTTTACGGTAACGTTGCAAGTGGTCTATTATTTAAAAAGTACTAAGATATTTGACAACGAAAACAAGGAAATAGAAAATGTCGGACGTTTCGGCCATATGAAAAGGGCATAGATGCTCGTCTTCTCTCTTGGAGGGGGTTGTCGTAAATTGCATAATTTTCGGAGTTTAGGACAAATCACGCCAAATTTTGACAAATTGCGTTATTTACAAGCAAACGGGGAAGAAAGAAAAAGAAAAATTAAAATACAACAAATTTAACGCAGTTAAAAGTATCTATAGCTTCTATTTGGCTGCCTATTTTAACAAGGTAAATTTTAACGTTCAGATTAAGCAACTGAGCCACACCCATATTGGTTTCCTTTTGAGATGTTTTAATTTTGTTCCATTCACATATGATTTCCCTCTCTGTTAAAGGATTATGGTTTCTTGCAGGCACAGTCGAACCTCCACTAACGGCCACCTCTCAGCAACAGCCACTTTTTTTGTCCAGACGGACAGTCCGGTCCATACATTGACTTTTATGGAAACCTCTCTATAATGGCCACCTCTCCACAAGGGCCACGGCCTCTAAAACGTGTCCCCAAGTGCGAAAATAACCTCTCGACAACGGCCAGTTTTTTCAGCGACTGATGAAAAAGTAAAAAACGGTCATGAAATTTGATCCGTATGACGTATTGATGATAAACCGCGGCAATCGTATTTTGATTTTGTTTCATTTTTACTGCTGCAGTAAGCATAAATTGTCTAAGAAAAAAGCGGATGTTGCGAACCTTTCTCGTTTTGTCCTGTTAACATTTTGATTTAAAACATAATTCAAGATTTTTGCGTATTTTATCTCTATATATTATTTATGACTGGATTATTATCATTATGGGGGACAGCAAGCATGAATGTAGGAAAATAGACATGTTGTAAAATTGTCATTTTACACCCCTCTACACATCGACCACTTTCTTCTGACCCCAAGGTGGCCGTTGTGGAGAGGTTCGACTGTCCATTCAAATTGATTTAGTTACTGATCTGATAGCGCAACGTCGATGGCCTTCATTTCTATGCCTAATTCAAAACAAACCATTTATATAACTGGTACTGATGGTAAGAAACTTTGTTCTGCAGTCTCATGCAAATCATGCAAATCATGCAGCCAGATAAAGAGAATTGATAGCAAAGCAACTGATGGAGTTTACAGAGTTACGCCATCTTCCTCAACTTTCCAAGTATGTTTTAGTTTTATACATTATTTAATGAAACTGCATAAAGGGCGATTTATTCTCTTGGTTTATGGCTTGCCAGTGACCTCTTCATGTCACCCAGTGATGACAGTGGACTAATTAAAGGAAGGATGAGCTTAAAGGGCAACAAATCATGATTGGAAATTCGCGGTCCTACACTGCAGAGGTCAATTTGTAATGGCTTGAACGCGACAAATATTAATAGCTGATTAAAATTATAAACCCGTAAAGATGATACCTAACGGACGTGGGGGTAAACGTTTGTTACTTTTGGAAATTTTAATGTTCTCTTCTTAAAAGGCTCACATTATCGCGAGCTTCTCGTGTAGATGCATTCCAACAAGGTTCAAATGGTTTTTATTAAAAGAATTATCAATGCGCTTACGATGGTAAATTAAATCTGAATGGAAAAAACTAAAGTGTTCAAACGTTTCTCAAAAGTGTATGCAGATTCAGGGTAAACTATTACAGATTTTCAGTGCATAAGCGATATCCATAAGTCTAGGAAGTCTAACAGAAGCGGAACTTGCAAGAAGTGAAGACAAATAGTAAGGAGTCAAATCATTTACAATTTTGACATCGATGTGTGCAATGATAGTAAGCCAGTGCAAGTTTTTCGTGACAGGCGTTATATGGTCGGTTCTTTTTATTCGTGAAATCAAAGGTGCGGCACAGTTCTCAAAACGTTGCAGCTTATCTATTTCTCGGCTTGCTATAGGCCACTATATAAACTGTTACAATAATCCAAGAGCGACATGACGAAAGCATTGAACATCATCGTAAGGTGATTGTTGCTCAGATACTTCCTCAATCATTCAAGAAATCGAATCGGCAGCATAGCCTCTTTGCACATTTCATTAATATGATGACGACGATTGAGCTCTCTATCTAGTTTTACACGAAGATTACAAACTCGGTCTGATGGTTGTACTCCAGCGTTGCCGATAGAAGAATCAGTTAGAACTGGGTTCTTGAAGAATGAGAACTAAACTGAATGACCTCAGAGACCTCTGTTTTACTAGGATTGCACGCTAACTTATTGATGGTGTCCCATTCCATAACTTAATCACTAATACACTTCTGAGGGGTGCTCACGGCCGGACGTTGATCAAGATGATCAATATTAATGTAAAGTTGAGAATCATTTGAATAGAACATACAGTCTAGGTTATGAGCAGAGATCTTGTCCTGAATAGCTGATGTATAAAGCGTGATCAAGAGAGGTCCTAGTGTCAACCCTAGCGGGACTCCAAATTCTAGCATTCTTTGTGTTACCAATAATAACAAATTGTGTCCGATCGCGACCCGTAAGATAAGACGAAAACCAATTTTAACACTATGTGGGAAAAACCAAAATAACCACTCAGTCTACCAAGAAGTATAGTATGGTCTACGGTGTCAAATGCGGCTGACAGAGCAAGCATGATGTTTACGGTAGGCGAATTGCATAGAATGCATTAAATGATTTTTCTCCGAGTATCAATGTGTTTGAACCGCGCGACAACCTTTCGATAACGTTTGCTAGGAAAGGTATTATATTGGCTACAGGTCTGTAATTTGTAAAACATCTTTGTCATTTTTCTTGGCGAAAAATCCCTCTTGTAATAAATAGTAGCCACATCGCCAACATACACTTAAATAATAACAGGATGAGACCTAAACGTTCTCTGGGAAGAGTTAAAAATACTCCTTGCTTATCTTGGAAAAATAGTTTAATTGGAATGCTAAGTAAACGTATTCCCAAAAATCTTTTAAGCCTCATTGTTCATGGTTAATGACGCTCTAATACTCTTTTAGCGACAAAGTTTCTTCAATCAGGAGTATATCTCAATATTATGTTAAAGTAACACTAACATGTTAATCGTACCCTCCATACGAGAAGCTCGCGATAATGAAAGCCTTTTAGAAGAGAACTTTAAATTTCCAAAGGTAACAAACGTTTACCCACACATCCATTACGTATCATCTTTACGGGTTTATAATTTTAATCAGCTATATTTGTCGCGTACAAGCCATTATAAATTGACCTTTGCGGTGTTGGGCATTGCCTTGCTCTGTTGAATGGTTGCGTGTTGTGTGCTGCATTAACAAGAATAATTATCTATGTTTTGTGATTCTTAAGTTTGTTCTGATTTGTAATCAAATGGTGACGGGAGGCCGGGAAGTTATTAGAATTTTTGGACGAAACGGGAGTGAAATTATTCCCTTATTCCACGAGTAAACTATTTGATTACTTTAATAACTCCGCTCTTTTCCTGTTGCCATATATTGTAGACTCGTGTATCGTTTCTTTCAGGTATACTGTGATATGACTTCCTCTGGACAAGGGTGGACACTCATCGCTCGGTTCTCTAACAGAGACGCAAAAAACTGGATGAGTGATTCTGGGTTTTTGTGGTATGACAGAAGAACAAGTTATGGATGGACGACTGATCCATCATACAATGCTGACATGATCGCTCCCGCATTCTGGACGGTCGGAGGTAACGAGTTGAAAATCACGCGCAGTAATGACAGCCAGCACACCGCTCTCTTGCAGACGACAGGAAACTGTCTAGGTGGAAGGACATTTCGATCGAAAATCACAGCCTTTGGTAACTTTAGGAATGGCGCCGTTTGGACAAGTAACCAATGTCTGGGTCATTGTACTGTTCAGTATGGCGGTCAGTACGCAACAACTGGAGGCTTCAAACAGGCAACATGCCAAGGAAACATCCAAAGTGCTAATGCAATCGGCTTCTGGTGTGACTGGGACACAGGTGATGGAGCGGTGATGATGATTGGTGGAGGAGGCAACACCTGTTCACGTGCTGACCACGGAATTGGAATAACAGAAGCCAATGCGGCATCTTTTGATGATGATGGAACCAAAGAACACGATTTTGGGGATGAGGCTAACTCGGCACAAGATACAACATACTCCCTAAACCTGTGGATACGATGATTTAATATCCTTTTTGGAACAGACAGCTCTAGCATTGCCATTAAGCTTACTAAATGAGAGTTATCGTGCCCAGTCTAGTCAGTTCCAGTCTTTAAACCTGTGGGTACGTTAATTAAAGCGTACGGTCTTCCTTTTGCTCGTGCTATTTCTATTCACAAAATTTAAAATTGTTCATTTTGAGTGATGATCTTGAAGATGACTTAATCATTGATTAGAAGTTTTTAATTAGCATTTTCGTTAAATATTACATCTTCATCGTGATTTACGCACAGCCAACTTTAGCAGAACATTTTACGATAGCATTCTTAAACTTTATGCTATTTTGGATAACTTTGTAGAACTCCCAATCCTGACTGGCACAGAATAAAATCCGTGAGCCTTGTTATTTGGTAGTGCTTTAATTTCCTCTTAGATGTCCCCGGGAACCAAGGGGTCGAAGTAAAAAGAATTTAATAAAATTTAGGTCGATGTAGAAAGATATTAAAATCACACTGTTCTGTATCAGTGTATCCTACAACTGCAAAGTGCCAGCTTAGAGTATAACATTTCCTTCATATTGAAGAATTAGCCTTCGGACCAGGCGACGTACTGATTTTTGCGTATTTGCTTTCTTCTTTGAATGAGATTATTTTATTTATTCCTTTCCAGATTTTATTAGTGTTTTTAACATTGGTTTCAAAGCAATTGCTTGTATTAATTCAACCGAACTTGCAAACGAATTCACAACTGAAGATGATCGTTGAACGATCGAAACATGTCTTGTTATAAACTTGAAGTTGTTGTCCATTTCTTAAAAATAGTTTCAAAGTACCGTTGATAATAATTAAACGGGTGAGGCTTGTTATCTTGTGTCGGTATCATTTGAATTCAAATTTGACTAACCTTATAAGGGACTGTGCAATAATTATCTGGAGGGGGGGTTCTAAAATTAGCAAAGTAGGCCTTAAAATAAAGTTGCACCCCCTGAATTAAAGTTAAAATAACTTCTTGTCCACCTCCGTCTAGAGGGGAGATTACTTTCAACCCCCCTCCCCAACATCCGATCCTCCCTACATCCCTCTTTACCTTTACACTACTTCTGGTATGTCTGCATCATCAATAAATAAAACTTGGAAGCTGCGCTCCATATAATCGTCGCCTGATGAACCACCTTCATACTCGGTTGACTCCTCCACAGAATCACTTGAGGTATCATCATGAGAACTGGAGGGCATGTTTTCATCATCATCTTCGATGTCTTCATCAAGTGTTCTTGCTACAGAACCATCTGCATGCTTAAGTATTCGCTCAACTAATTGTGCCTTGTTTCCAGATACCATTAGACCTTCTTGCCTTAGATAGAGCCGAAGTTGCTTGTTAGTCAGTCTTTCAACATCGTCTCTGCTCTCCCAACAAATATCTTCTGGAATGGTGTTTCTTTCCAGATTTCTTTTGTCTGCTTTTAGAGCCAAGAATTCAAGGTGCTGAAGATATCTTCTGCAAGAACTTTCGTCGATGTTAAGCTTTAAGCATGCTTGCCGTATGGCCTGGTTATCAGAAGAGGTCACTTTCTTTTCAACAAACATCTTCTTCACTTGTACACTAGGAAGGATACTGTCAACCTCGCTTGGAGCCAAACAAGGTTGATCAACTGGGAGATACTTTTGGCATCCCGCAAATTGACAATATTGACCAAGAGATATTATTACTGTTTACATCACATACGGACAAATCTTGTCTGAGGGACTTGCTTTCCTGTAAATGCTTCGTTGGGGAAGCGGAAGTGCTTGTTGAAAACCAACTCGGGATTTAACTCAAGTTCTTGAATATATGTTTAATATTGTTGAGATAAACTGTTCATTTTTAGTACAAGGTTTTGAAGCTGTTAATATTAATATTTCTTAAAAGATTCCAAAAATTGATTTTGATTAGCTTACATGTAATATACATTATCTTGAGTCCATGGATTGAGATCAGACCTCTCAGTTTAACTTCTAACCCCCCTACAAATGTTTAAGAAATTACATCTTACCCCCCTACCCTGCGCTTTGGTTTAAGTTCAGGCCCCCCCTATTAATCTTAGAACCCCCCCTCCAGATAATTATTGCACAGTCCCTAATTTGAACTCGATTTGTGACGTTTTGAAGCCAAATGCTAACATCACAGTAAATGCAAAACGTATTTTGATCAACAATGCCATAACTTGTTTCGAAGGGCTTTTCCTATAAAGTTCTAAAGTGATGACGTCATAAAAATTAAAGTTATGAAATGATGGGATTTGTAATTATTACAAATCCTTCTAAATTTGACTTGGGTCTAAACGTTTAGACCCAAATTTAGAAGGATTTGTATGGAGTCATCAGAGCATAACTGGACTAATATCTCAGAGACAATTTGCCCCGAAATGCTATGTTTTGCAAGTAGGCGTCGTCTTTCAGAATATTTGACAAATACCATAATTTCACAGCTTTAACTTTTTATGACGTCACACTTTAGAACTGTATTCCGGTTCAGTATAAGCCGATCGGATATAAGCCCTCCTAAAACCCCTGACAAAGATGTACAAGCCCCCTAGGGCTTGTAAGCGTCAGTTTACGGTATCCTGCTGTTTCTATCAGATCTACTTAAACAAGAGTTTCCAAAGGGAGATTACTATTTATTCTCTAGTATCTCGTTCCTTATTTTCAAAGAAATTTAATTAAAGGAAAAAAAGTAGAATACTGACGTTTTTATGTTGACATTGTCTGATGCAAACACTTAATAAATGTTTTGTTAAAAATCGACATCACTTGTTAGCCCATCTCAGTTGTAAAAAGTACGCTTCTTTTATTCGAGCTGGCTTAACATGAACGGGAGTTGCACTTATCATCATGATGGTGATTTTGATCTTTGGGTAATATTTGGAAGTGAAAGTTTTTGTTGTTAGGAAAATTAAACTTTTGACTGATGATTTAAATCGTAGGCTATAAATATCTTACGCCGACGGTCAGTGCCTGCTTCTAGCCAATTCATTTCCGTTTATTTTTTGATCACCCTCAAATGACCGAAGATAAGAAATAATTGTTTTTAGAGAGAAAAAAGGAAAGCAGGCCTTTGACACATAAAGAAAATATTTCGCTTAAAGTGAAAGTCAAGTTCAGTCTTCAGCTCACTAAGCAAGGACAAAGTGTTTTTTTTCCTTTTTACCACGTGATAGCGTCGACGAGACAATCAAAGCTGTAAGTTAAGCTATTGGCCATAATCAATTCGTTTGAGAAAATATTAGTTTCGCAAGGTGCAAACGCTCAATAATGAATAAGTCATAAACGGATTTTAATGCAAAACCCCTGCTAGACGCGCATCACTAATTACATGGCAATGACACGTTCATATCAACTGAAGTAAGAAAATGCCACTTTAAAATAACCGCGGAACATCTAATTTTGAGTATGAATGTAACATCTCTGCCACCTCGCCCGACTTTGATAGTCGTTTTGGAGTCGAGCATTGCCACCGTTTTTCTGTGTCTTGCGCTGGCTGGTAACCTTATCGTGTGCCTGGCAATTTCACGACATAAGCTGCTGAGAACAGTGCCAAACTTTCTCTTGTTAAATCTCGCCGTTACAGATATCCTCAGTGCAGTGGTGAGCTTGCCGCTCCTTGTGTCAGTTCTGGTCAATGGCGCCTGGAAATTTTCCAAGAATGTTTGCAACTTCCAAGCTTTCCAATCGTACGCTTCCTATTCATGCAGTCTTCTTACCTTGGCAGTTACAAGCATCACTAGATATTACGCCACAGTTCACCCGGTACAGCACCGTTCAAAGTTCAAATTAAAAACGGTATGTCAAATGATTTTCCTGATTTGGTTGGCTTCGCTTCTTTTTGCTTCAGCGCCGCTTCTTGGATGGGGAAATTACAAGTTTGAACCTTACTACGGGCTATGCATTCACGATCACAACTCAAGCCCTTTAATATATAATACGTTTCTGTTTATCTTCTTGATGGTCAGTTCGACTGTAATTGTGGCTTGTTACTCGAAGATTTTCAAAGCCATGAAAACAAGAAGTGGTAGGGTGGATACAATGTTTGCGAAAGACTCGTGTCCAAGACAGCTAGGAATTTTTCAGGCCCAAGAAGTTAGACTAACGAAGACAATATTTATCGTAATCTGTCTATTCACTCTGTGTTATCTACCTACAATTGTCCTGGGGTTTTTAATGTTTACCGAAGTAGGTGTACCTCGATTCGCCAGAACACTATCAACGTTTTCTGTGGCCTTCACGTCCGTTGTCAACCCAGCCGTGTACTGGATACGTAGCAAAACTTTTCGCGACGCATTAAAGGGACTGTCCCGTGGAATGAATTTCAGGGCCCCGCAAGAGTCTGTCTGTTCGAGCGACTCGAAATCACTAGAACTCTTCCCAAACAGAGACAACAAAGATACTATCAACCGAAGGCAATGCAAGCACCTACGCTGCCTGCTAAAGATTAAATAAAGTTTGGATTCTACGAAATTTGCAGTAACTTGAATTCAAGAGACGGTGGCGGAATTATTTTAAATATCTCGAATTTTCGGTCACAATCCACCGTTTGTAAAGTACATCTTTCACTTTACTATATCGTTACGAAGTTGGATTACAAACCCAGAACGCATACCTTAATCAGAATGGAAAACCCTGCACATATTGTACTTGAATGTTATCCCTGGCTTAAATCTTATTTTGTTTTACTTCAGGTATGGTAATGTATGATAATGAGTTTAAAAGAGAGGAAAATAGCCTCTTTGAAACCAAACCAAATTTAAACCAAGGATAAAGTTCAACCGAAACACGTATATCAGTTTAATGCCAAAATGAACGTGTGGTATAAGTAACAAATATGATCAGGAACAACCTGATTGTACTGAGAGTTTTTGGAAAAGAGAAAGAGAAAGCAATACTATTGCTCACCTTCCCTGTCACAAGATGCCTCTATATTTACAAACTGTACTTATCAAACGCGGAATTTGATTCAGACAGTCTCAGTTACAGGCGCCTGAGGTA